TAGCTTTTAGTATGAAAGACATGGGCTTGGCTGATATAATTCTGGGTATTAAGATCAAACGAGAGGACAATAATTTGATTCTTACCCAGTCGCACTATATTCAGAAAATTCTTAAAAAATTTTAATCAATATAATTGTACACCCATGTCTACACCTTTTGATTCAAATTTAAAATTATATCCTAATACTAGAAGAGCTGTTAATCAACTAGAATACTCAAGAGTAATAGGTAGCCTGATGTATGCCATGACTTGCACTAAACCTAATATTGCATTTGCAGTGGGAAAACTTAGTAGATACACTAGTAATCCCAGTAGTGTGCATTGGTATGCTGTTAATCGAGTACTTAGGTACTTGAGGAAAACAATAGACTATGGAATAATCTATAATGGCTATCTAGTAGTGTTGGAAGGATTTATGGATGCTAGTTGGATAACTGACCGTGAAGATCACTCATCCACGAGTGGTTGGATTTTTACTCTTGGAGGAGGAGTTATCTCTTAGGGTTCTAAGAAGAAAGCATGTATAACAAACTCAACCTTAGCATCTGAGTTTGTAGCATTGGCTTCTTGTAGCAAAGAGACAGAGTGGCTAAGGAATCTCTTGTTAGAGATTAAGATATGGCCAAAACCTACGCCACCAATATCTTTGCATTGTGATAGTGAAGCAACTTTATCACGGGCCTATAGCCATGTCTATAATGGAAAGTCCAGGCATATAAAACCGAGACATAGCTGTGTTAGGCAGTTAATCACAGAAGGTGTGATTACCATTAGTTATGTAAAGTCAAGTGAAAACTTGGCTGACCCCTTAACAAAGGGACTTGTAAGGGATTTGGTGTGGAAAACATCACAAGGGATAGGTCTTAAGCCCACTTAACATAATCATTCCTGGTGGAAACTCGACTTAACGCTTGAAGAAACATCAAGTCTTGAGTTCAATAAGCCCAAGTACACCATATGTCGTGATTGCAAGCACTTAGTTTTATTTTATTTTCATCCCAAGGTTAAAGTGCTTGGTACCTATAATGGGGGTGTTTGGGAAGGAAGTTTATATGAATGTCATAGATGATCAAATATATCTGTGTGTGTGTGTGTGAATATCATAATCAAAATTATTTTCCCAAATCAAAATCATTCAAGATGTTCATGAAATCCTTTAAAATAGAGAAATTTTGGAGATATTAGAAGCAATATGAATGGAATGGCAAGTACCCAAACTTGTCTGGAGACCGTGAAAGCAGAAAAAGAGAAATTGAGAGACTAGAAGAAAGAGAGAGAGGCAAAGAGAGAAACCGAGAGACTAAAAGAACGAGGGAGGCAGAGAAAGAGAAACAGAGAGAGTAGACTGACCTTGAAATCACATTGGTGTGTAGCTTGACGTCGTCGATACACCGGTGGAGGATGAACGAAGGCTCAATGATACTTCGTGAAAGAAATGTTGATGGACTAGGGCACAAAATTGTAATCAAGGAGTTGAACGGTTTTTTTGGGACTGATTCTGATATGTATTCACCAAATAATAATAATAATAATAATAATAATAATAATTCTAATAAGCGCGAAATGAGAATTTGTTTGGCGCCTTTATTTTGTTTGGCTTATTGTAGCGGTTGTGTTCAAACCGTCACTACAAAAAATATATGGCAGCACTTTAAGGAAAAAATGCGGCTAAAAGTTTTATTTGTAATGGTGGTCAACAACTGTCACAATAGCCCATTTATAGTAGCATTTTTCGGGCCGCTGCAATAAAAAACACTGGTAAAACTTGATTTTCTTGTAGTGAAAGCATTGAGGTAGAAGATCAACAGAGAGCTATTAATTTGGATGAATTGTAGCAACTTCATATTCTTTTGCTTGTAACTTAGATAAAATTTGATTAGAATAGGGAGAGATTTCAAAAAAACTAGAAAGAACACAATCAATTTGCTGTGAAATTCCATGTATTCTTTTTTCCTTATCCTCTAAGCATGTAAGTGAAACATAATAAAAACCAAATAAGTGGCAAAATGAGAAAGGGAAACTATTAAACATGGATTGGAAGGCTCACATAATAGGAGATTAATTTATGATTCCTTAAAATGCATCTTTCACATCATAGAATAAAGAACTAAGATTTCAGTTTCTATGATTGTATTTTCTGTTTGTTCTTGAGTTTGGTCTGAAGTTTCATGATAATGGTAAGCAACTAGCTGAGTAACTAATACAGGGTATTAAGACAGAACTTTAGATTTGATATAGTTGTGGAAGAAAGAAAGGGATATAAGTTTGGTATCAGTAATTGTTCCATATCTTGTGAAATGTAAATGGATTTTTTCACAATCTATCTTGCCCATGCTTATATACCCCCTAATTGTGAACGGTGTAAATTACTCGTTTTTTTTTTTTCACCCAGAAAAATCATCTTATAATGAAATCTCAACAAGTCCTCTAATCTATATTTCAAAGAATTGAATGAAACTAGTGAATAATTTGAAACATCTTTTAAGTTGAAATGATATATAGGAAAAGGATAGATATGAACAATGCAATTCTTTATTATCAAGCATTAAATTTGTTTTACTAGTGATATATTTCATTGTTATATTGGTTCATTCTTCCTTACAGGAACAATCAAAAGCTAACATATTTGTCTTACTAATGATACATTTCATTATTATATTGGTTATTCTTTCTTATAGGAGCAATCAAAGGGTAACATCGCGAACAGAGAAAGGATGTATACAAAACACAGGTGTGGTTCTAGGTCAATCCCTGTTAGAGTAGAAAAATTGGTACGTATCCTTGCACTTTAAGAATTAAATGGACCAATATAAGTTATATGAACTTACGTCACATTAATGGGATGCACCATTTGTGAATTAGCCTTAAAATTAATTTTTTGTTCTCGTAATCTCGAAAAAAAAGTCTGTTGGAGGGGTAAATTTTATAATTGATCTAATTGTAAATTGGTGAGTTACTAATGTTTTTAATCTTTTGTATAATTAATTAATTACTAAAGCTTTTAATTTATTTTTTTGCAGATTGGATTGGGGTGGCATTTTTGACGTGCAACAATGATCTAATTTGCTTGAATGTTCAATTTTGTTTGATAAGGATACACATACTTTGTGGAGTTGCACTAGTTATTGTTGGATTTTTGGTAAAATTGAACAAGTTATAACTTTTGGATATTTTGTGGATATTTCACTATTTTATTGTATTAGGATGAAATTATTTGTGATGATGAATGGATATTTTCATTTTGTTAATTCGTAAATATGTTGATAACATGTTAGGTTAAGTTGTGATGGAATTGTTATATTCAACAGGTTTCAACATGAACAGGGTTATATTTGTTGAACTAAAATTTAGATTTTGATAAAATAGGTATATAATATGAAAAAAAATATTATGAAATTATTGACAAAATTTTCCATCCCTAAAGAAGGCTCTTTTGTCTCTTATTTCGCTTAAGTGGATGATTAATTTTGTCATGAATTTTTTATTTCGTCACTAAATGCATTTGTCGTGACAAAAAATATTGTCACATTTTGTCACTATTATCCTCAATGTGTGACGAATTTTTTTTGACATTATTTTATCATTTTTAATGATGAATTTGTTTTTATCTCTATTGGTAGCTTCTTTGAAAAAAAAATTTCGTCTTCGTTTATATTAAAGGTGACAAAATTATTTTGTCTCAATTTCTTATATTTATGACAAAATAATTGTGTCTCTAATTTCTCCTTTAATGACAAAATATTTTATCGCTAATTACTTACAAGCATGTTCCCAACAGAGTGTATTTGAGACAAAAAAATTCATCACAAATTTATCATTTTTAATGATGAATTGGTTTTTATCTCTATTGGTAGCTTCTTTGACAAAAAAATTTCATCTTCGTTTATATTAAACGTGACAAAATTATTTCGTCTCTATTTCATATATTTATGACAATATTTTTGTCTCTAATTTCTTACTTTAATGACAAAATATTTTATCGCTAATTACTTACAAGCATGTTCCCAACAGAGTGTATTTGAGACAAAAAAATTCATCACAAATTTATCATTTTCAATGACGAAATTGTTTTTTCGTCTCTACGACCCTTTAGCGACGAGGCTTTGGCGACAAAACGGGTGACGAAAAATTTTCGTCGTAATTAGTTTGGGTGACGAAATATATATATTTTGGGACAAATTTGTTTCGTCTTTAAATCCCAAATTTGTTGTAGTGAGTCTTACCATGTGAGGAATGTTTCACAAACAATGTGTGATCTGTCTGACTCTGTTTGAAGCCATATTTAAGCATAGCCTGCGTGAATCTCTCAAACCAGGCCCTTGGAGACTTTTTGAGACCATATAATGACTTCTGAAGCCTACATATTTTGCCTTCGGTCTGATGATCCTTAAAACCAGGAGGAATGCCTATATATACCTCTTCTTCGAGGTGACCATGGAAAAATGCATTATTTACATTAAACTGATGAAGTGACCAATCTAGATTAACTACTAGAGAGAGAAGTACTCTGACCGAATTCATCTTAGCCACTAGTGCAAAGGTCTCCTGATAGTCAACACCATATGTCTGAGTGAACCTTTTTGTCACAAGTCTAGCCTTTTTAACGCTCAATAGACCCATCCGCTTTGTGTTTCACAGTATATACCCATTTGCATCCCACAGGTCGTTTGCCCCCTTAGGTAACTCAGTCAATTCTTAAGTGTCATTCTTCCTAAGTGTTTTCATTTCCTCAATAATGGCAAGTTTCCATTCAGAGGTAGCAAAAGCATCCTGAAAATGGTTAGAAATGCTAATAGAGGAAATATTTGACACAAACGCTCTATAGGAGGACTATAAATGAGAGTAAGACACAAAATTTGAGATAGGATGTTGAGTACAAGACCTCACACCCTTTCTCTTGGCAATAGGAACATCAAGATCAATGAACTCAAGAGATTCAAAGTTACCTAGATTCTCATCAGAAGCAAGAGATGGCAGTGGAGGAGCAAAAGTGGTCCCTTATATCCAATTAACTTTATGTTTGTCTTTGTCCCTAGCATAAACTTGCCCTTCCCTATCCTTGGTGACATTGGGTTCTGTAGTCCCAGTAGGAGGTGGTGGTGCAAGAACAACTGGTTCCACTATAGGAATCACAGGAATCACGTCATACCAAGGCTCCCCCTGAAGGGAGGACTGGGACACCAGAAAGGACAAGAAATAGGATTGAGACTCAAAAAATGTGACATTTATGGACACAAACCACTTACGAGAAGGAGGGTGGTAACCCTTATACCACTTTTGAGTATGAGAGTACCCAAGGAAAACACATTTGAGGAAGCGAGGATCCAACTTACCGCAAGTAGGAGAGTGATTGTAGACAAAACATACGTAGTCAAATATTTTTGGAGGAATAGAAAACAACCTTGGAGGACTTGAAGGGGCGCTTGTTTTTGCAAAACTTGGATAGGAAGACGATTAATAAGGATTATGCCATCAGCTAAAACTGAGCACGCAGTTTTAACATCGTCAGAGAGAAACACATCTGATGTCTTTGGTAAATTTTTTTCTAGCTCTTTAATGTTGACGCCCCTCAAAGCCTCTAAAACCAAAGTGTCAAGAATATGACAACTTTTCTCATGTGTCAACTCCAAGGTAAGCTGCGTTTTACAATCTTCCTGGTTTCAATGGACAACATATCAGACATGATTGAAATCGATCACTTGAATTTTAAAAGTCGAACACTTAAAATTTAAGAAAGTGAAAATAATATAGAACCTTTAAAAAAATCTGATAAATAAACCAAAGTGAAACAGAAAAATGAGCTCCAACTACTAAATTAACAAACAATTGAGTGTTGAGAACACATCATGCTGAAGCAGCAACACATGTCAGCAGAATTACAGATATGGGCAGAACCAGATTTCATACAATAAAACATAAAGTACTAATTATGATGTTAAATTTAGCACGAACTCTTTTGAATGTTAAAAAAAAATGACTCTAAAAGAAATGGACAAACAATAATGACAAATTTGTACGAGTTCAGCAGAGAAGTCAAGAACATAAAAACTTCTGAGTTCGTACCTTTAAAGGCTTGTCATAATTCCTAAACACCTCCAATGCACTTGCTATGTCTTCAGGGCTGATATCATCCAACTACATCCACAAAATTAACAATCAACTTAGCACGATTCAGTAAATTATCTTTGGAAATAAGTTAATAGAACAATGTAAAATAATCCTATCTAGAATAATTGGACAAGATTATCACATACACACTGAAGAAAATTATACCTCGGGATCAAAAATAGGAAAAATCCATGGACAATGAACCTACAACGAAAAGTATGAACAAAATATTAAACTTCCTGAAAAAAAATTATATCTAAAAAATAAATAGACAAACAAAGAAAGATAGGAAAAACAAATAAAGAAAGCCATACAGGCAGTCATGACACTCTAAGGGTAACAGTGGCACTACCAAGGTAATTACGACAAAGACAAGACAACTGCCACAAAAATTATCTTTGTCCACAAAGGGTGAAACAATTCCCAATTTCAGTCTCAATTCTTAGGTAGTCAGCTGATGCAATCCACAAGTAGAGCAAGAAAAAGCCATGTTCAAGAAGTGGCAATATTTGGAAATTGCCATGGTTTCAAGCTACAAACGTCATTAAAATCTTATTTTAGTTTTTAGATTGGGTATTTTGGTAATTTTCATATTTGCTATCATGGGCTATAGAGATTGCCCATGGATTGTCTTGCAGGTAAAGTTATTTAATTAGTTTTTATTTATGTTTCTTATTTGGTCTTAGAGTATGAAGCAGACACCTCTCCGAGGGCTCATCAGTGTCAGACGGACACGAGGTGAAGACGTGTCCGACATGCAGCAGAGAGGGCCCTTTTTATTTATTTATTTTTGCATCCGGACACGTTCGGGGGGTCAATTTCATAATTTATGAAACTTGTGTTGTGGCCAATTTGTAAAACAACAAAAACAGAGCAATATTTACCCTAAATCGACAGAGAAGAAGAGAAAGACCAAAAGAGAAAGAGAGAAGACCTGGTCCATTTTCGGTGGTCGCTCGTCTTCGCTTGTCGCTCGTCGGCTGTTATCTAAGGTACGACTTCACTGCTTCATTCTTCATTTTTCTTCTTCGTTCTTCTTCTTCTGCGATCTTCTTCTTCTCCAATCTTCTCTCTGTCTCAGTCGCCGTCTCTCTGTCTCTCTCGCAGTCACTCTTATCCTCTGCATTGAACCTTTGTTTTGTTTTGTTTTTTCTTTCTTTTCTTTTTTTTCTTTCTTTTATATGGTCTATGTGGGAGTGTACATCTGTCTGAATGTCTCTCTCTTGTATTTTTATTTTTTTTCTAATTTCATTTTATTTTTTGACGAAACAAGTGGAGTTCTGGGTATTGAAGGTCCCCTCCACTTACAACATCATCTTGGGCAGAACATGGCTGCATGCCATGCGATCAGTTGCGTCATCCTACCACCAAGTAATGCGGTTCCCCAACGATACCGGGGTAATTGAAGAAGTCTATGGAGATCAAATCATGTCAAAACAATGCTTCGTCACGGTAAACAGCAGCCGCGCTGCCAAAGGATACGTTCATTCGGTGGAGGAACCTGAGAGCAATGAGCTATTCGCAGATGTCGGCAAAGCAGCTGATCAGAAAGCAGTGGAGGACTTGGTAGAGGTAAGAATAGATGAAAAGAACCCGGATAAGTTCTTTTTGCTCGGTTCGTCGTTGTCCAGCACTGAGAGATTAGAGGTCTTAGAATTCTTAACTTCTAACATCGAAGTGTTCGCCTGGACGCCCTACGACATGCCAGGCATTGATCCAAACTTCATCAGTCACCAACTTAATGTCCACCCATCTGCCAGACCAATCATCCAACGAACACGCAGATCGGCACTCCACCACGCCGAGATAGTGGCGGAAGAAGTAGGTAACCTGCTGGAGGCAGGAGCAATAAGAGACGTACACTACCCAAGATGGATCTCCAACACAGTCGTAGTGCCAAAAAAGAATGGTAAGTGGCGTGTCTCCGTCGACTATAAAACAGTCAACAAGGCATGCCCAAAAGACAGCTTTCCTCTACCACGGATAGATCAACTGGTAGACCTAACGGCGGGGCATAACCGACTTAGCTTTCTGGACGCATACAGAGGCTACCACCAAATCGCCATGCATGAACCAGACCAGGAGATCACATCCTTTACAACTCCGAGAGGACTATACTGTTACAAGGTCATGCCCTTTGGCCTGAAAAACGCAGGGGCGACATTCTAACGGATAGTCACCAAGATGTTTGAACCATTGTTAGGCAGAACAATGGAGGCTTACATCGACGACATGGTGGTCAAAAGCAAGGATAAGAACGACCATCTCAAGGACCTAGGAGAGATGTTTGAAATCCTGAAGAAGCACAAGTTGCGCCTCAATGCATCCAAGTGTGCATTCGGAGTAGGATCTGGCAAATTCCTGGGCTTCCTTGTGACCAACCGGAGTATAGAAGTGACCCCTCCCAGATCAAAGCAATTCAAGATTTGGAGAGACCAAACTCAGTGAAAGAAGTGCAGCATCTCATCGGTATGGCAGCAGCGCTCAATCGATTCATAAGCTGATCATCAGACAGACTACGACCATTCTTTCAATCTTTAAAAGCCAAGTTTGAATAGGACGAAGAATGCGACCAAGCTCTGGAAAGCTTGAAAGAATACATGTCCTCTCCACCATTGCTGGTCACCCCATTACCAGGAGAAGAACTCTTCCTGTACCTGGCAGTCTCCCAGCACGCAATTAGCGCAGTGTTGGTCCGTGCGGAAGGAATTCAACATCTGCCCATCTATTATGTCAGCAAGACATTGCTAGGAGCCGAAACAAGGTATTTGCCACTAGAAAAATTAGCATTGGCTTTAATGATGGCCTCTAGGAAATTGGCACACTACTTTCACGCCCACACCATAGTCGTCCTCACAGCTTTCCCACTAAAAGCTTTGTTTGAGAGGGCGAACTTTTCTAGGCGAATCTTGAAGTGGGCAGTAGAGTTGGGACAATTCGACATCAAGTTCCAACCCAGAACCGCAGTAAAGGCCCAATCTTTGGCAGACTTCATCGCAGAGTTTACTCCTGGGAGTCATCATATCTGCCCAGTCGACCTAACTGACACAACCGAACTAGGGATGGAAGTTGACGCCGGAATAGCGCAACCCCTAGCAGAAAGCACTCGATCAGACTCCAAGGCAGTCCAGGCAAAAGACAGCAAGGAAGAAACAAACCAAGACTCACCAATAGTACAATCAGATGGCGAGGGGCAGACAGCAAGCATGGACCTTGAAGAAAACACACAACATCTGACCTACGACATCATCTGACCACTCCACTGCGGCTTGTTCGTGAGAAAGATGGAACCTTGTGGGAGCAATCCACGCGCGGTGCAGATTGGCTAGTCCTCATCTCACCAACGGCCTGGTGAGAGGCAACAATCAACTTGCTCCCACATCAACAACGAAGCGAGTAGAAGCGCTTCCATAGGACTCAAAATCCATACTATGAAGGCCACCGACTAATGGGCTACAAGCGGCTCACAGCGGTGGTAACAAATCTGGCGACTATGAAGCAAAGGATGAATGGAAGTACCAGAATTGAATCAGAACAAGATCAGAAATTGAAGTAGTAAGGAAGAACAAATCGGCAGGAGGACAAACGCAGAGCGCCACGAACTAGCAGGCTGCCTCAATGGACAGATACTCATCCTCATCCTTGCTCATCGACTCCCCATTACCAGACAAGCATCGAGACCCAGAACAGAAAAGTATCATCTGCAGAACAGCCCCTTGGATGGATCCGATCATCCTGTCTTTAAAAGACACATCCTACCAGAGAGAAAAAGAAGGCCAACAGATAAGCAAGCGAAGTCGCAGCAGCGATTTTGGCCTCCCACATTCTTTGCATTATAGACAATCATTCCAGGACTTACCTAAGTGTGTTCATCCCAGCATAGTGGAAGCATCTTGTTCGATATAACAGAAGGGTGGCGGCTAAAGAGGGAGCGCCTAGCTAACAGGGCCATTTCGCAAGAGTACTGGTGGCTTACATGCAGGCGAACTCGGAATATGTGAGAAGTGCGAGAATGCAGAAATTCGCACACCAAATACATCAACCAGCTAGAAAACTCCTACCATTGACTAGCCCATGGCCTTTCGCAATGTGGGGCATGGACATAGTAGGACCACTTCCAACTGCACCCGGCAACAGGAAGTTCTTTCTTGCAGCAACAGACTACTTCACAAAGTGGGTGGAAGAAGAAGCATTGGCATCAATCAAGGAAAAAGATGTGAAGAAGTTCGTCTGGCAAAACATCATCACTCGGTTTGGCATACCAAAAGTCCTAATTTCAGACAATGGCACTCAGTTCGACGGCAGAATCTTCAGAGGCCTTTGCGAAGAGTACAAGATAGAGTTCTACAATTCTACACCAGCATATCCCCCAAGCAAATGGTCAGGCAGAAGCATCAAACAAGATAGTATTGAATGGACTGAAGAAACGGTTAGAAAAAGCCAAAGGCAAGTGGGCGGAGGAACTCCCTCATGTTTTATGGGCTTACCGTACTACACCACGACGATCAACTGGAGAAACACCATTCTCCTTGGCTTATGGCATGGAAGCAGTGATCCCACTGAAAGTTGGTCTCCCGACAATTCGAAGCAAAAATTTTGATCCTGACTTGAATGGCGAAGCCATAACTTTGGAACTCGACCTTGCGGAGGAAAGAAGAGAAAGGGCACTGGTTCACATCGCCTCGTATCAACAAGAGTTATCCAGGAAATACAATAAAACAGTTCATCCAAGACAATTCAAGATCGGAGATTGGGTACTGCGCAAAGTGATGGGAAACACTTTGATACCAGGAGATGGCAAGTTAGGGCCAAACTAGGAAGGTCCTTACAAAGTGGTTGGGTTAGCAGGCAAAGGGGCATACCACCTAGAAGACAAGGACGACAAAGCAATCCCTAGGCCATGGAACACGGCCAATCTCAAGTTATTTTATTTTTAGCTTTCTTCTTTTCAAACATGTGTAATTTCTTTTTCCTCAATAAAACAATCGATTCTTTTTAGCATGAGTTGTTCTCTGTAAACATTAGCTTTAGTAAAGTTTAGGTACATTGCAAACATTTTTATTCTAAGTTGGCTAGAAAAACTAACTTAGAGGTTGGCTGGAATAAACCAACATTTTATCCTAAGTTGGCTGGAAAAACAAACTTAGAGGTTGGCTGAAATAAACCAACACCCCTTCTAGGCCCAGGATAAGGATCCAGGCTGCAGGACGTTTGGTCGGAATAACCAAACATTATTCTAAGTTGGCTGAAAAAACTAACTTAGAGGTTGGCTGGATTAAACCAACTCTTTATACTCTTCAGCCGAAGTAAGGGTATGGCTGAAGAGTGGTTGGCTAGATTAAACCAACTCTTTTTACTCTTCAGCCGGAGTAAGGGTATGGCTGAAGAGTGGATTGGCTGGATTAAACCAACTCTTTATACTCTTCAGCCGGAGTAAGGGTATGGCTGAAGAGTGGATTGGCTGGATTAAACCAACTCTTTATACTCTTCAGCCAAAGTAAGGGTATGGCTGAAGAGTGGGTTGGCTGGATTAAACCAACTCTTTATACTCTTCAGCCGAAGTAAGTATGGCTGAAGAGTGGTTGGCTGGATTAAACCAACTCTTTTTACTCTTCAGCCGGAGTAAGGGTATGGCTGAAGAGTGGGTTGGCTGGATTAAACCAACTCTTTATACTCTTCAGCCGAAGTAAGGGTATGGCTGAAGAGTGGTTGGCTGGATTAAACCAACTCTTTTTTCTCTTCAGCCGAAGTAAGGGTATGGCTGAAGAGTGGTTGGCTGGATTAAACCAACTCTTTATATTCTTCAGCCGAAGTAAGGGTATGGCTGAAGAGTGGTTGGCTGGATTAAACCAACTCTTTATACTCTTCAGTCGAAGTAAGGGTATGGCTGAAGAGTGGTTGGCTGGATTAAATTAACTCTTTGTACTCCTCAGCCGAAGTAATTATGTCGGCTAAAGAGTGGTTGGCTAGTAAGCGTAGTTAGATTGACCAGCTAAAACCAAGATAACAGTTGAGAGTAAAAAGATCATGAAAAAATCATAACAAGTACAAACGTACAGATCAACCGAAGTAAGAGTTCAAGAAAATTTTCATTCATCAAAAGACAAATACAAAGGAGGGGCCATAGCCCAGTTACAAAAACAAAAAGT